TTTTTCAAAATTATACCGGTTTCACGGTACATGAAGTTTTTTTTTTTTCATTTATGACCGGGTGTTAACCATATTTTCTACTGATTGAGAGAGGAAATACTGCAGTATATTGACTTAGAATGCCCTATTTTACTGTCATGATGAGTGAATATTGTCAAAAAATACCACACTAAATAGTGACTAAACACGACCCCTTTTAATACATGTTAACCAGGAGTCACTCTCATTTATAATCGCGGCATCGTCTGATAAAATCAACATGCATCTACACTAAAGAGCGGCTATGCGGTTGTTTTGGCTGTATTACTTTTTTGTCTCATGCAGCGCACTGCCTGCGTCTGAGTAACAAACTAAAAACAACAACAAACAAAAAAGTGCATGTGATATTAACAGATGAACTACACTCATATTTCATGCCGAACGTTGTTTAAGCGACATACACCGGTATTGCGGTATTTAAAAAATTTATATCATAACAAAAATAAACACCGGTATTCGGTATGAACCGGTATACCGCCCAGCACTATTTCTAACCCTCCATAGACAACGATGAAACTAGCACGTTAAAGGTCCAGAAATGTAGTAAAAATAATGACTTTATTTAACAATTCCTTCTCTTCCGTGTCACTCTCGGACGTGCGTTCATGAGAGTACAATGTTGCATTTTTGTTTTCTTTGCGCGCAAAAAGTATTCTCATAGCTTTATAACATTACAGTTGAGCCACTGATGCCACATGGACTTTTTTAATGATGTCCTTACTACCTTTCTGGGCCTTGAACGTGTCAGTTACAGAAAGATTTTAGGGTCAGAAAGCTCTCAGATTTCATCAAAAATATCTTAATTTGTCTTACGGGTTTGGAATGACATGAGGGTGAATTTTCATTTTTGAGTGAACTATCCCTTTAATGATTAAAATCAAGAAAGCCAAAGAAAATAAGAGACAATCATGTTTGAAAGGCAGTCAATTAACTGGTTGGGTGAATACATTTGGGAATTGTTTGGAACAACACGAGGGTGAGTAATTGATGACAGAATTTTCATTTTTGGGTGAACTAACCCTTTAAGATGCATGAAGTGATGTACTAATACACTGTATTCCAGTGTCCTGCAGAGTTTAGCTCAAACAAACAAGCTTACCTGGAAGGCAACCTTGATTAGCTGGTTCAGGTGTGTTTAACCAGGGATGGAGCTAAACTCTGCTGTGCTGACCAAAACTGCAAAGCCAAAATCATCACAATTAAAAGAACCAAAGACTTAAACTACTTCAGTCTGTGTGCATTGAATTGATTTAATACATGAGTTTCACAATTTGAGTTGAATTAATGAAATAAATTAACTTTTTAAAATTAAACTCACACTCATGTTTAAAATACACATTAAAAAAAATAGTTGATAAATGTAAAAGGGTAATGAATGTTATGAGATGTTTAGTGGGGAAAGAATGGGGGGCTGAGAGGATGGCTCTAAGAAGTATATATACAGGATTGATACGATCTGTATTTGATTATGGGAGTATAGTGTATCAATCTGCTGCTAATAGTGTGTTAAAAGAGGTGGACAAAATCCAGTACAAGGCATTAAGATTATGTACGGGGGCGATGAGATCTACACCAACTGCAGCCTTGCAGATTGAAATGGGAGAAATGCCTTTAGATCTTAGAAGAATTGAACTGTCACTAAGATATTGGGTCAATATATTAGGACATAGTCAAGAACACCCAGCGAGGGTAGTTCTAAAACCTTTCTGGGGAAAAAGGAATAGACATGAAACTGGAAAATGTGAATATTGTAATATGGAGGAAAATGTAGAGCATGTTATAATGAAGTGTCCAAGATACGGAAAGGAAAGAGATACTGATGGATGTCCTCAAGGAAAATAAAGGAAAACTTAATTTGATGAACATTTTGGGGAATAAATCAGGGGATAAAAACTTTCCATGTTTAATGCGTTATTTAAAGGACACGGGATTTTATAATAGAGTTTAGTAAAGAGTACGTTCCTGATCCACACTCATAATCAGTAGGTGGCGGTAATGCACCTAAAAGTTGTATGCCATCCTCCATTAAACACCAAGAAGAAGAGAACGAGCCGCGGGACAGAGCCGTCTGGAGCGCACACACCGAAAAGATGGAGCTGTCGGCGGTAGGAGAGCGGGTTTTCGCCGCGGAAGCCATCCTGAAAAGCCGCGTTAGGAAAGTGAGTAAGGAATAACGGGGTTTAGCGGGTTTGGGAATGTTTTTCACGATGTAGAGTACAGAGAGAGGGTCGTTTTTCGAGCTTCAAGGCGCCTGCAATGACAAGAGGGGGAGGCCTACTTGCAGTTGTTTCCCGATTTAGCGACCCAGTACATTTACTTGCATTGTCAGATTGGAAATAACAAGTCGAATGTGGGACATTTGGATATGCAACTTGAGATTTATGTTGTAAAATTGGGTTGTGCTGTGCTGAGAACTGACAGCAGCCCGCTAAAAGAGCAGCAGGAGGAGGCTAAAAAGGGACAAAGTGTCTGGCATGAGTCCATAACAAAATCAATGCATGCTGGCCGACATAAGAATCAAAGATATCAACAGTGCACGAGGGTCGAGTAGTTACAGTACTGCAAGGTGTCGTGCCACATGGTTTAAGGTGTTAGATGTGCTGTATTAGTGTATATTTGGGTAAACACACTTTACTGAGCCCCAAAAATAAAATAAATGGGCATGAGGTTTGAAGTAGAGCACGTGTTGCTCATGCATTGTTTAATTCGTGTTAAATAAAGAACATTTTATGCTGTTTTTCACTTTGCAGGGTCGAATCGAGTACCTGCTTAAATGGAAAGGTTGGGCACTAAAGTAAGTGTGTAAAATATAAATATCGCAATGGGTGTATTTTTATATTGTGCTGTTTATTTCAGTGTCGTACACTGTTTTCTAACTTTTTCTGTAGTTTGAGTGGAAAGGGACTTGATTTGGTTTCACTTGGGTCTGTTTCACAGTTTGTGCACAAGTAGTGTGTAAAGCGTAACACAGCTGCAGCTCCATAAGCTCTAAAATAAAGTGATTTGTGTGTTACTGCTTTGAATAAATCCGTTATTAACTGCCATGAATTCTAAAATGGTTATACAATTTATTTTAAACTTGATTGTCAAATCTAATTTACATAAGGATCAGTTTCCATCCAAATAGTAAGTAAATGACAACAAGTGGACTCAAACCAGAGCTATAAACTGTTTACATTATGTGAATTCATTCTGATTTACTGAATAGAAAGTGTTTGTGTGCCGATTCCTGCGTGTCACTTTAGCGTGCATTGTGAAACAGGCCTTATCATTGCAGAAGTGCATTGTGGGTAGCTGAAAGGTCAAGCAGTGTTGTGACTTGACATACTACTAACTACATTTCTAAAACTATTTTCAGTTACATTTTTGATTTGTTGTTGTTATGCCTGCAGTTTTGATGAACTGATTTGAGTTTATATGGACAATTTTAAAAATTGACGCTTTTATTTGTATTTGTCACATCATGGGACTAATTAAATGAACTGCAAAAATGCAGTACTGTAAAAATACAGCATATATAAATATATCACTTTTTAAACTGATAGTGCTAAAATCTTGATGGGGAAAAGAAAAACGTTGATATTTCTTAAATACCTGTTACCATTTAAAAGATTTTAAATGGTTTGCAATGTAGACACAGCACATGGGAACCAGAGGGGAACATCTTGGATGATCGACTCATCACGGCCTTTGAGCAAAAGTAAGCATCACTTAAAGACTTAACTCTTAAAACTTTATTTCTATATAAAGTTAGAAAAATGTAGAGAACAAAAATATTTATTCCTCATAAAGTATGTATATAGATGCCCAACAGTTCATGTTTTCAATGTAAGAGCCAGGAAAAGATTGTTTACGTTTATTCTTTGTTCTTCGCTTGATTTATTTTTGCAGCTTTATGCTGCCAGTTTGACTGGAAACTAGCCTCTCTGGTGGATTTTTAAACAAAGATGACTTGCATTATGCTTCAAAGCCTTGCATTTGGATTGTTATGGTTTGGGCCTGACGCTAAAGTGATGTCATATTTTCCTTGGCTTAAATGGTGCTGTCCTACAATTCATAGGGAGCGGCAGCAGGAACTTTACGGCCCAAAGAAACGTGGACCTAAACCAAAAAACTTTGTACTAAAGGTTGGAAGTTTCTTAAAATGTTCTTTGAAATGAATCTAATCCATTTTCAAATGTTTAAACATTTTAATACATTTAGTACATGTTGAGTGTTTCATAACATATAAATAAACTTTTAGTCTGATGTTTTAGTACCTCCCAGTCATATTTGCTCTCCACCTATTTAGGCACGGGCACAGGCGGGTGATAGACCTCGGAGCTCAAATACCCAACGCACTCCACCTCGCACCACTGCGAAGCCTCCCGCCTCTTCCTCTTCTGCAAGTGCAGCTCCTCCTCCACCTTCATCATCCTCTTCCTACAACACTGCTCCAACCCCCAGAGTGCACTCTCTCGCCGCTGCTCATAAACTGAAGAAAGACATCCATCGTTGTCATAGGATGTCTCGGCGACCTTTGCCACGACCCGACCCCCTAGGTGACCCCACAGGAACCACATCCTCATCCCGCCCTCCCATCTCTCCGTTCTCTGAAACTGTCCGCATCCTCAACCGCAGGGTCAAACCGCGGGAGGTTAAGCGAGGACGCATAATCTTGAACCTGAAGGTCATTGACAAATCCCAAATCCCATCCCGGAATCGCATCATTGGGAAAAAGCATGGGGACATGCCTTACAGGCCTTTCCAGCATCCTATGAAGATGCTGGGCTTCCCGATGTATGGCCAACCATTCGGGCTTAACCCCTGTGGGTCAATGTCCTCCATGGCCAATGAAGGATCCAACACCGGAGTCAATCGGAGAGGTGGAGGCTGCTGTGATAGCCATTCCTCTGCAAATGCGCGGAAGTTTCAATATCAGCCTCCACCTTCTCCATCCAGCTCCAGTGGGTCTAACAACAGCTCCCCCTCACCTCAGGAACAAGTGACTCAACCTGAAGCTCCAGCTAAATTGGACTCTGCAGCCTCATCACGTTCCCAAGATGCCTCCCAACCTCACCCAAAGTCCAGCTCTGCGCCATTCCTCCCTTCCTCACCCTCCTATTCGTCCTCCTCTCTTGAAGGCGAAAATCAGGGCTCTCCGAATCTCGTCACTTCTCGGGGCGGAAAACGGAAACTTCGACATCGAACCCAGGTGGGTCGAGCTTCGGTCTGCCAGGTTAGTGACCGCAATACTGCCCCACTTCCTGAGGAAAACAGGGTGCCAAAAGAGGGGGATCCCGATTGGCACCCTGAAATGGCACCCAGCTGTGCCAATGTAGTCGTGACTGACGTCACTACAAACCTTCTCACAGTCACCATCAAGGAATTCTGCCATTCGGGAGCTGGTTCTGAACCCTCCTCCCCTTGCCAAGCTGACAAACCACCCCGTCCCACCACAGCTGCCTCTTGAAAGTTCCCCCTAAATGTCTCCGGTAAAAATATCTGCCCACTAAACCCCAAGAGAACTTGCCATAATGATATTCACGCACCCTAAAATAGTTAATGAAATTAAAATGTATTTTTTGGGTGAAATTAAGATATATTGAAATAATATTTAAAGGCAGAGGTGCTTTCCTTGACCTGTAATTTTTAAACAACATGTTATGATGGTTTTGTAGTACTTCATGCTTTTTTCCCCCTCTTTTTTTCCCCAGTGATCCTGTCTTTCCACAGCCTTTTTTCCCCAAGTAATTGCACCTTGTCTTGTCACCTCCAGTCCTGTAGAGACCACCATTCCCATATCTCCAGACCTAAAGCTCAGAATCCACCCAAGAAATGTTGATCTCAACCGCTTTTTTGGACTCGAGATGTTGCACCAAGACATTTGTAATCTTTTGAGGTCCATTTTCATTGGGATACCGAACACCGGATGCTTTGGAAGTTCAGCCATGAACTTATGAAGTAATGTCATACGCCCATTTAGGCATCCAACCCATGCATTGATCTCACCAACCTTCTCTCGTGCTAACGAAGAACTTTGCTGATGAAGAACCCAAGTCATTGTGAAGCTCGCTGCCTATCACACGGGCATAGACGTGACTATTTATATGCACCAAGCTGCAAAATCCTGAGGACCGTTAAGTTATTTCCTTCTGCTTGAACTCCGCTCTGATCCAGTTGTCTGCCGAGACTATAAATTGACTCAAGTGTGAATGCTGAGGACTGCATCTGTAGTGTGGTACTGTACGTTAAACGTTCCACATTATCTATCTATCTATCTATCTATCAGGAAATATTGGTATTCACATTATTTAAACAAAAGTGGTTTCTGTGCATCCATAGTAGATACACCACTTGCTGTCAGTTGTAGTTAAACGTTAAAAGAATAGTTAATCCAAAAATGTACATTGTTTTAGCATTTTCATTCATTTACTCACCATCATGTTGTTCCAAACCTGTACGATTTGTGGTATGTTTGCCAGAATGTTCCATACTATGAAAGTGGATGGGGACCGGAGGCTGTAAATCTCTAAAAAAGACAAATGACTTGTGCACTGTATTCCAAGATGCATAAAGCCATTCTATTGCTACCTGTGAGGAATGGGATGAAAAATGTTGGCTTGCCAGCCTTGGCCACCATTCACTTTCATTGTAGGGAAAAGAGCAGCTTGGACATTCTGACGAATAACTCCTTTTATGTTTTACTGAAGAAATGTTTCAGAATGCATGAAGGTGAGTACATGACGACAGTTTTGCATGAACGTCATTTAATATTTAACATTTTTCTGAAAGCTAAATGTTTTAGTTGCTGCATGGTGTCATTTTATTATTTTAGAATTTATTGAAAATAAGTTGTGGGACGCTTTTCGCTTAGGCATTTTTGAGCAGTCCAGCAAGCAATATTATAACCTGCCACATCAGGCCTGAAGAAACAGGCTAACACACAGTTTATGGCAGCTAACCTGGTTGTACTGAAGGATGATAAAATGACAGACTCCACCGGAGGACCAAGGCAAACCTCATTATAAGATTTAATTATAGAACACAATTAAGTTCCACTTGTAGTGATACAGTCGTCCTCTAATGTAGCATTTATTACTCTTATCACTGTGCCTTTACGGAGAAATGAAAACATTTTTGATGACTTTCATCGTTTCCCCAAATGATTTACAAATATTGACAATTTTTAAATATTTTCATATTTTTAGTATGTGTGTGTGTGTGTGTATTAACTTTTTAGTTTACCGGCTTCCAAACATTAATGTGAACTTATCTACTCTAACACGAAGTTCTTTAAAAGCTTTCTTGTTTATCATAGTCATACGTTTATCCCAGGTCTGAAGTAATTAATGTTCTGAACATATCCCTGGTGCTGCCCCACGTAGGGCGCCACGTGTGGTGCATCTACAATAATATCTAATATTGAAGCATCCCATGATGTTGTTTTCCTTTGCCTACAGTACAAATTGTTCCACATACAAACAGTCAAGTCCTTGTTTACCTTTATATCCTTAATGTTAGAAAAAAAAAATAGATGTCACTATGGTGTGAAACAATGCAAGATGGTTTCTCCTAAAGAGGTAGCTTAGCACTATGATAATATGTGGCCTACATTTCATGCATTAGGGCTTGTATTTTATAGGATGTAGCCACCAGAGACCATCACTGCACAGACAAGAAGCGATTATGTTTATAAGGTAAGGATGAAGGTATACTGGAGGTTACATCCTCAAATTTCAGTGTCTGATGTGTTTTTTGTTCATTTTAAGATGAATTATTACATAACCGTGCCGTAGAAATGAATGATACATGCTGCCTTTATTTTATAGCCATTGTTCATTTTTACTAGTCTGCTTTGGGTTTGAGAGAATGTAGAACCCAAAAAAAAACAGAACTAAGTGTGATTTATATGAGTTATTTCTTTGGTAATGTATAAGGTTAATGCCATTGATGAAGCTGATTATGATAATGAACTTATGACATTGTAATGGATGCATGATTTGAGAACCCTAATTGTACAGGTCATTTAAATGTCAATGTGTTTGTTGCTTTGTGTGTTTCTTGAAAGAGGCTTTTAATAAAGTCACGTTAAAGACGCTGTCATTGCAACCCATTTTATTATACTGTTATAATGACTGTTCTTTTGTTGGTGCCTTTTTGCACTTTTACATCTTTACAGTGTCTCTGCCTATACTTTCATTGTGTGGAACAGTGCAGCATGAACATTATGCTTAACATCTCCTTTTGTGTTTTTACAGAAGAGGGTCACACACGAAGGTGAAAAATGATGGCAATTTTCATTTTTAAGTGAACTATGGCTTTAACGTCAATGATAAACAACTTACCTACCGTGTTTTTATTTCTGCTAGAGGGCGCTGTACAGTTCAAATGTTAATTTGAGAACTTTCTTGCAAGCAAATTATCAATTGCTGACAACAATAGGTTGAGCAATAGTAATAATGATATTTACTTGACTAGGCTCTGTGAGCTGGTTTTAAACACTAGACTAGTTCTCACGCAAGGTTTTCTGTCTGTGCACCTCTGCTCTCTTGTGGGCTAATAATAGCTAACGTTGCTATTATTATACTTCATACTTATGGCTAGGTATTTGTATGTAAAAGCATGAGCACAGCTGTAAAAAATAGATGGATGGCCTGATGGTTGCATAGGCAGATACAGTGAGAGATAGGCTATATATTGAGACAGACAGACAGATAGATAGATAGATAGACAGACAGACAGACAGACAGACGGATAGATAGTTAGATATAGACAGACAGATAGATATAGACAGACAGATAGATATAGACAGACAGATAGATAGTTAGATATACAGGTGCATCTCAATAAATTAGAATGTCATGGAAAAGTTAATTTATTTCAGTAATTCAACTCAAATTGTGAAACTCGTGTATTAAATAAATTCAATGCACACAGACTGAAGTAGTTTAAGTCTTTGGTTCTTTTAATTGTGATGATTTTGGCTCACATGTAACAAAAACCCACCAATTCACTATCTCAACAAATTAGAAGATAGATAGATAGATAGATAGATTGATTAAACAGAGGGATGCCGAATGGTTGAGGAGTATTGGAGGCGGGCTTTACTGAGGAGGATGTAGCTGCAGTCATGGCTCCCAGACCGCGAATCCCAGTGCAATAGTAAAGAAATGCATAGTCCCTGTTTGTAACAGAGAAGTGCATTTTTAGGATACACATGTTTACAATTTTAGTTTAAAACCGTAGATTTTTATCTCCTTTATATGCGAGCGGGCTATGGATGTGCAGGTTGCAAACCATTGCAGCATCAAGTCTGCAGCGAAAGCGAGCGTCCCGCAGAATGCAGCTGAATGCGGGATCGACAACACCGCAAAGAAGAAATCCTGCTCGAGGAGAGGCAGAAGAGGCAAGCGACGGAGGGGCAAGAAGGCCAACGAGCCTCCGCCGTTTCTACCACCGGAGGTAACTACAGATATTGGCGGATGCTAACCATTAGCCAGCGGAGTTTGTAGCCTTTATAAATAAACATAATAACAGCAACCGAATTTTGTGTGGAACCGTGCCCCTGTTCTGCATATTATATCTTAATATCGTTAATTAGAATATTAATAACACCGCAACAATGTGTTACAAAGCTGCTGGCGAAATGATAGATGCACAAAATTGGTAACCGCCGCCAAAATACCGTACAGTTATCGTTACCTTCTGTAAAAATCATAAGAAATTATTACTACTTAACAATGTAAACAGTAGGCCTATGGCTTTCCTCATTTCGTTTTATTTTTGATGACAGGTGTCGAATACTAATTTACTGCAGTACTGTATTACTAATAATTATACAATTTTAGTTACGTTACAGAGAAGGCCAAGACCAGAATGCGCACTTTTTTTTAGGCGAAAACAGATTTTTAAAAATACCCACTGTTCATGTTTTATGGTAGATAATAGTTGTTAAAAAAAAACATAAAATAAAAGTAAATACAAATGTGTTAATAAATAAGCAAAAATAAGTTAGTAACATAATGCCAAATAAATACAAATTTATGTGGTTATTATTAATTTTCTAGTTCTTTTCGAGGTAGTATTTTGTCCAGTAAAAGAATTATGTGCAAGGACTGATTTTTGCAAGGTTGATTATTGATTTAATTTAACTTAAGATTTTTATTTAATTGATTGTTATTTGCCCACATATCTTCATTTTGTAGGCTGAAGAGGGAAACATTGAGTACAAGGTATGCAAACACCTGTGAAAATTGAAGTTCAACATATTTTTTACTGACATTTTTATGTATCTAATGGCATATTCATCCTCTTTCTTCACTCAGCTGAAGCTGGTAAACCCCACGCAGTATCGGTTCGAACATTTGGCCACGCAGTTGAAATGGCGACTGCAGGAGGGCCGCGGGGAGGCCGTGTATCAGATTGGGGTGGAGGATAACGGTCTGCTGGTTGGACTCACAGAAGAAGATATGAAAGCCTCGCTTAAGACTCTTCGCAGAATGGCTGAGAAGTAGGCTATGTATTCAATTCATTGTGCAGTTAGTTTATTCTTTAATGTCAGTGTGTAAGAAGTGGCTTACAGGCGTGTTGTGTTGTCTTGGTAAGACTCTGTGACTCTGTGCAGGGTTGGAGCCGATATCACGCTCCTGAGAGAGAGGGAAGTGGACTGCGATAGAGCGC